ACTTGTCCAAACATTCATTTTCAAGTACATAGAAACCAAACCGAGGAACTATCTTATCAAGGTCATATGTGCAATTTATAGACAAGGTCTCATACCCTTGCCCATACTAGTCCACCTATCAAGTCATCATGATTAATGAATACATAACATACTTCACATACATTAATTTTACATGCATAGTAGTAGACATTTAGTGAATATGAAACTACCTTTCATTAGACACCATGACTCTTTGCTACATTCTAAGCATGCATAATGTGTGAGGGTGTATGTACATTGGTCAACATGATCACATAATGTCTATAAATCAACTCATTGAGGCAGCCACCCTCTTAAGATTACAATATACTTTAAAGCATAGACCACACAACACAATTAGCATAGGAGGCTAGCTAAACTTCACATTACACTTTAAGACTCCTTGCATTAGCTATTCACATATTTACATAGGGGTACATGCATAGGGTTAGAAACTATTATAACTCATCAATGGCAGAACCTACTCTTTAACCTAACATAGATATATTCATGCTTATACAATAGCCATACAACCCAGATCACAACTAGAATAGGAAAGTAGGCATAGGCTTCACATAGTGTGATCATCATAACAACACACTCATATAATTATCAATTTGCCTTCAAGGACATACTCAACATATATATAATGACAATAAAGTAAACACCACCACCATAAGTGGACCATACCAGACAATGTCATACAAAGCTTTATCAACTACAATAATATAGAAAAGTAGAGAGGAAGAGTCATTTTTACCAATATCATCAACCTTTGATCATCATTGATCAATACACATTTTTCATCATCAATACATTATAGGTTAGTATCTAAAAGTACGTTTAATAATGAAAGAAACGATGTACAAGTCGCTACAAGATCATACTACAATCTAATAAAATACATCACATATATACTATAAGTAGCGAGTTATAGATCATCAACCAATCTCCCTAGTATTGTCAATCAATAATATTTTATCAATAACATATATTTAGGGAAGTAGCTAAAGAGATAGAACATCATAGCTAAATCATGCTTCATCCTTCCTAGAATATAGATCACAAAATATACATTACTCTACCAACTCTATAGGCTATAAAAAACTATATCAATCTTTGTCAATTCAATTGTTATCTATTGGATCAATTATACTAATTATAATCACATTATATATACATGCAGTAGCTGAGACAATTCACCATGATTGAGTCATATAACAATCATCCCAACATCAAGATCACAAGTTACTACATGATAAACTAGACTTATTCAAAAACCTTCAAACGTAACCCTCATGGATCATTCCTTAACAATTCATCATCAATACACATAGTAGACAGTAGGTATTAGCATGTTAACATAATTGAATCACAAATCGATATGCACAAGATCAAGATCATAAAGCCACACATAGGCTAAAATCGAGTTTGTGAGAGAGCTTGAGTTCATCATGCAATTGAATTGAAAATCACGTCAAAATAATCAATACATTCATATTATGATTTTTAAATCAATTTAAGAGGGAACCCATGACTAGATTGAAGAAGAACATATTTGATCATGGAACTTATTTGAAAACTTTGAAGAGGACTCTCCAGATGGAAAATTAACTATAGATTAAGGATCACCATACCTTTATTACATGAATAACCCACTAAAAATTGGTGAAGAACCCATGGTAATCCAATCTACAAGCTGAACTTGAACTTCAGAATCAATGGAGGCTTTTAGAGAGCATATTTTGGGAGAGGGATGTTTGATTTTTGAATGGAGGATTGGGTATGGGATATTCACGTTTTTAACCAACCTAATATACCTAAAAATGGGTAAATAAAATGCCTCGGGTCAGGTTAGCACGTGGGGTGAATTTCCCATTCACCTCATAATTAGGCAGGGTGCATGGCAATTCTACAAGTCTGTATCGACGGACCCATCGACGCCTAGTAGGTCCATCGACAGATAGTACTGCAGGCCGTCATTTGGGTATGAGGTTGGACCACTGCCTTAAGACTTAACCAAGCTAAGTGTCTATCAACGCCTCACTCTCGGCGGACCATTGGTGGACTGACGAGGCATCGTTTGGTTCGGTCGATTGATACTGCCAAGACAGTGTGTCAACAGCTTTCTGGTCCTTCTTGAGGGCCTCTTGCGGAGCCCTTAGGAGTCGTACCCGGGCGTTTCAAACGTACATATGAACATTAACAAGTAAAGGACCTTTCTCATCAGTTTCTCCCCAAAACAAACATGCAAAACACATCGAAACATGCCAGACACACTCAAGACACACATGAACGTCTCAAGGGAAAACTTTCGAATGTGTTAGACGTTCTTGGATGTTTGACCTCCAAACTTCGTGAAAATCCATACACTGCTTATAAAAATTATTATTATTATTATTATTCATTTTAAGACTTCATAGGCTCATGACACACACATAAGAACATAAAAACATAACGCCCCTTAGGTGACTTGTCATCGAACGTCTTGGTCGTCCCTTGATATTTGACTTCCAAATGACTTCAAATCACCCAAGCCTGCTTTAAAATACTTAATTAACAAGTTAACAAGCTCATAGGAATGTGTGAGGCTCTAGATACCCTATCTCATTTAGAGGTCTTACACATTCCACCTTCAAATTCATGACCTATTCTCAAATAACCAATTAAGTGCAAAAATCACCAACAAACATACCTGAGTGGAACCACAAGGGAAATTATGGATGAAAGGTCATATGAGTTAAGTTTTCACCTAATAAAGAATTGTATGTTATATCAGTCTACATGGAGCTAAGCCGTCTGAAGCGACGTCAGATCATTTCTTAAGTCTAACGGCTCCAAGACGCAGTCTAAGGACTAGCCTACCTCTTGGATAAGACCGATCCCAAGATAACAATAATTACAACAACTACCAAAAATAACTACAATGCAAGCAAGATCACACAACAAAACTAGGCATGCTTTAATCCCTAAACGATACCCGAAAATACGCCTATGACATGAATTCTAATAATTTAAACAAGATTCAACTACAAACCTAACCTAATTCTACATATTTAACATTAATTTACATTTATAGGCTCAATCGAAATGAGTCGAGAAGCCTTTGGTCCTGCACCAAAAAAATTCTTCTTACGATAGAAATGCTGTATTAAGAATAATATATACAACAATAACATATTTTTCAGTTGACACTTGTAATACATTTATAATACAATTTACTTAAATATTATGGAGAACATTTTATAAAACACATAACGTACATGTTTTATTCATAGATAATATATTTATCATACACTTTAATACACTTATAATAAACTGCGTCACTTTCTTGCCAAACAGCCATAATATCTTTTAAAACAACTGTAATACATTTATAATGTATAGTTTACTTTTTATATATAATAGATTTATTATAGTATTGTTATGTATTACTATAGATAGTAATAAACAAAAAGTATCACCAAAATCAATAATTATTTATTAAAATGTACTCACCAAAGTGACGTTTCCCATAAATATTATCAGGTAGATTGAAATTATGAAGGCTCGATGCGAGCTTGTACCACATACACTAAAAAGCCCTATTTCATATCACCTTTTCTGTCAAAAGTATATTAGGAAAGGATTATCTATAAAAGTCTAATGACTCACAAGCACCATAAAAAGGTTAAAAGTTTTTACCTTTATCAATTTCTCAAATTACACCTCAATCACTCTTCCATATATTTTTGAAGAATTTTCACAACCTAAGAACTCATAATGTTGTTTTGGGATCTTAATTCCATTGTATTAATGGAATGAATTTACCATGGATTGGCTTATGAAGCTACCTTAGATGTAGATAGGAGGAGAAGGGACAACCCTTAACTTGAAAAAAATGAATATTTACTGATCTCTTTCCCCTGCCTTGGGGGTATTTATAATATATTTTGGCATACCTCGAAAGGTTGAATGTGTAGCCAAGTGAGGCCTTTTATAAATTCAATTGTAACTTTTGATTCACTTGAACTTTTAAACTTATCTTGGACATAGGGAAATCGTAACCCCCCATCCCACCCCCACCGAATTTATTTTATGATTGATGTAACACATTTATTACTCAATTTCAGACTAACCACAAATATTAGTGAGTTCAAACCTAACTCTAATATACTATTGTGTTACAATGGGGATTAGATGACCTAGGTCTTTTTTTTTCCTAGTCCGAGTTGGATTTGGCATAAAGCCATTTACACAAATTATACACGAGATCGACACTTCATGTTGGGCGGTAGATTGTATTGCTTGAAATTAGAGACAGGAAATAAGTGTGATACGCATGTCGCATCAATCGTATCACACAGAAGAGGGAACAAGGCATCATCGTGTTGTGCTAGTGGCACATTGAGTTACAGGTGTTTTAGAAGAAGGTTTTGGACGCCTTTCCTTTGCGCCATAAAGATATAATATAGACAGAGAAAGATGCAACACTAATGTTACACGATACGAAATCAACAGTTCCTTTCTCACTTCAATCCCATTAGGTTTCATTTCATAAAATCTTTGCTACAACATTCAAATAGACCAGCATAAGCTCAACTATACTAAATTATGATCAACGTTGTTAATTACATAAGCCATCTTCAACTTACCTCAAAGGGATTTGGAAGTTCTCTTTCAACCATCCTTGTAGTTTAAAGCCATTTACACAAATTATACACTCCCATCATCAAGTTTCTTTTTATAGCCCATTAATGGCCTCCCATCAATTTCCACCATTTATTCGCACTAATTCAAGTTTCATAACTTTAATAGCCAAAATAATCTTGAACTAGATATATAATTTTTTTTATCCCGATGCATGGATCGAGGATGTTTTATTATGTCCACCATATGTCATATTGTACGGTTGTCAACATGTGTATTACCGTCGATTGAGTTAGAATTTATATATAGCTTCTACTTCGCCTGCATGAAACAAGTGTAAAGTAAAGAGAATCATGCATGTGTTGGAGCAGGCTATGAATGGACAACAAGAAGAGTTTGAAGCGGCTCTAAGAAAGCTAAGAGGAAAAGATGCAGATATTTCATATGAAAGGTCGACAATACAAGTATGTCTCTAGCTACCATGCATCAATCTTAATTTCTGCTACAAAGATGCAAAACATGACCTTGTTATTTTGCAGGAGTATTTGGACATCCTTGAAACGCTTCCCAAAGCAACATTTATTAACTTATTTGATACATCAAATTATCGCGCAGTTATTGTAAGCTTAGCTTCTCCATATACTTTATAGTATTCCATTATCATATCATCCATCCATACTAACCTACTTTTTTTTATTTCTCTTCTTCAGATTTCTGTCGGTTTGATGGCTTTTCAGCAGTTTGTGGGAATTAATGGAATTATTTTCTATTCAACCGAGATTTTTAAATCTGCAGGTAATTATTATAATAATGTTAACTTGTCAAAAGTTATTTTCATCTCTGGATGTACTTTAAACATCATATGATGTTTTGATAATTGAATAAGTCATAATCTATTTATTAGAGTACAAGAACTAGGTCCTTTCCAAAAGGAAGTATACAAATTAGCGTGAATTCGATCAGAGAACATATTGGCTTAACAAGAGTATAGGTGATCGTTGATTGAGGTTGTTTTTCATATATACAAGATAACGTTAGAGAATTATAATTGGACTTAGTTCAATTTGACTAGAAACTGAAAATCAAAACAAAGGAAGTGTTAATCATGATACATATGGATGTTAACTTGTCAAAAGTTATTTTCATCTCTGGATGTACTTTCAACATCATATGATGTTTTGATAATTGAATAAGTCAAAATCAATTTATTAGAGTACAAGAATTATGTCCTTTCAAAAAGGAAGTAAACAAATTAGCGTGAATTCGATCAGAGAACATATTGCCTTAACATGAGTATAGGTGATCGTTGATTGAAGTTGGTTTTCATGTATACCAGATAACCTTAGAGAATTATAATTGGTCTTAGTACAATTTGAGTAGAAAGTGAATATCAAAACAAAGGAAGTTTTAATCATGATACATATGGAGTTAGCTTGGAGTTGGGAAAAAAGAATTAGATATATTCATGAAAAGACTTCAACAAATAATTGGTGGGATGAGAGAAGTATAAAGCAGCCCACATACTTACTCCTATGAATAGAAAATATCAAAATATTTTGGATCTTCAGCACGCCCAAAGAGAGAGGCGTTAATGTGAGAAGTGTTCACACTGTTAAAACACAAACAATGCAATAAACTGATTTGAAAATTAAAAGTTGAGTGAATTTATGAAATTTTAGATTTGTATTAATTTGCACAAGATCTGAATTTATACAAGGAAAACCCTAATCATTTTCTATCTAATAGCCAATTACAAAGTGGATATTTAAATTAAATAACAACATGTGTCACTAACAACCATAAAATGAATCCCTAACTTCACAAAGTTAAGCAACTAAAGTAGACTAAGGGTGTGTTTGGCATGAAGTAAATCATTTCCTGAAAAATATTTTCCAATTTTTCTGATGTTTGATTGGGTTAAATGTTTTTTCAAATCTACTTATTTTCCTCAGATTCAGGGAAAATGACTTTCCTTAAAAAATCAAGCAAACCATTTTCCAAAAATTTCCTCCAACTTCAAATTACAGTTTTTTGTTGAAAAAATAATCATTTTTGAAAAAATAAAATAAATTTAAAGGTTATTTTTTAAAATAATTTTCAACTTCAATTTTCTTTCATTTTTTACCCCACCCTCACCCTGACGCCCCCCCCCACCCCAAAAAAAAATATAAAGTACGTTTTTGAAATATATTTCCTATTTCAAAATTTATTTGTCACCCCACCCCTACCTTTGACCCCACCCAACCAGTCCCTTACTAGGTCCCACCTTCATAAAAAAAAAGTTCAAAGTTTTATTTTTAAAAAATACTTTTAATTTCATATTTTTGTTTTTCAGACCAACCCAACCCCCATCCCCCCCACCCCCCCAAAAAAAATTTAAGTTTGTTTGTAAAAGATATATTTAATTTTAAATTTTTTATTTTTTTACCCATCTCACCCCCCCTCCTACCACACCACCCTCCCCAACAAATAATTAAACTTTATTTTTAAAAAATATTTTCTATTTCAATTACAAAATTATTTAATTTATAGTAAAAATAAAAGATTTTTCTCAAAAATAATTTTGATTCATAAATCAAATACTAAAAAATCTTTTTCGGATAATATTTTCTACTCACCAATAAAAAATGAGAAACAAGTGAAAAGTCTACTTATTTTCTAGGAAAATATTTTCCTTGAAAAATATTTTTCTTCATACCAAACACACCCTAAGTATAGCTAGAAAATAGGTATCACTAAATGGAAATAAGTAAAAAACAGTAAAAAAATTATAAGCTGGAAAAAATGACAATTGTCTTACACTTCTCATGGCATTCTTTTGACAAACATCAATTCTTTGCCTCAGATTTTCAAACCTTTCCTTTTGGCAATGACTTTGTGAACATGTTAGCTAGTTGGTTCTCAGATGAACAATGAAAAAAACAACACTTCATTAGATCGTTAACTTCACATGATGTTGATATACTTAATTCAACCATGAAACTCTAGATATCTTGAGATTGAAACTACTGATATATTGTCACACATGATCTTGGTTATTTTTGTTTGTTCATGGCATAAGTCCTTCAAAATCATCCTTAGGCAGATAACTTGATTCACAAAAGATACAACAGTTATGTACTTATCTTATGTTATTGATTGAGTTTTAGTTTTTTGTTCCATAGAGCTCCAACTAAAACAACTTGTCCCCAAATAGAAGAGATACCCAGAGGTGCTTCTGGAATTATCAACCCCACCACCCGAATCACTATCAGAGTACCCGATCAGGTTCATAGTTACTTCAACAGATGTTGGAAAAAAAGTTCCAAATTAGTAGGTACCTTTAATATAACTTAACAATCTCTTAGACACTCTGAAGTGTGTGTCACTAGAAGAATTTTTGATCTTAGAGAGTAAACTTACAAAAAAAGAATGTCAGGTATGTTCGGGGTTTGATATAGAAGACTACTAATTAAGGTTCTATATATACAATCATCCACTTTTTCGAAATCCTCATCATTGCCATACTTCACACCAATAGAGATTGGAGTATTCAAAGATTTGCAGTCTTGCATTTTGAACCTGATAAGAATATCCAAAATGTATTTCTTATGGTATATGGCAATTCCATCACTTAACTGCAACACTTCCATGCTAAGGAAGTATTTCATGACTCATGGATCATTAATTTCAAAGATTTTCTCCATTTCATCCTGAACCATTTTGTATTAGTTCAATTTTGCTTCCTATCACAAGCATGTCATCCACATAAATTGAGATAATTAAGGACTCACATGCTGAGAAGTTCACATAAAAAAGTAGCTTCACTTCAACTTCTACTAAAGACAAGTTGGATGAGATGATTTTCTATCCACTCATATCATACCCTTGGGGCTTGCCATACAAGACATATGTTAGAAGATAAACTTGCTCACCTTTTCTAGGAATCGAGAAACCATCACATTGCTCTACATTGATCTCTTCAGTAAGCAAACCATTCAAAAAGTTTATTTTGCATCAAACTGATGAATCTACCAGGAACTGTGAGATGAAAATGCAAGAATAAGCTTTATTTTGTCATACCTTGCTACATGAACAAATGTTTTCTCGTAATCTACACTATATTGTTGTGCAATCCCTTCATCACCAATCTAGCCTTATGTTTGAAAATCCAATTATACCAATACCTTAATATTTCAAGGTCTGTCAACAAGTCAACAAGCTATCAGGTTACATTATTTTGAATCATGTCTAGTTCATCTTGCATAGATATTTTACATGTCTGAGAGTCTTGTGCTTTAGTATAGGTTTTTGGTTAAGAGGTAAAACAATTACCCTACTAATAGACATCTTTTAAGGTTCGAGTTCCCTCACTAGTACATCATCCTATAGTTCATTTTGTGGAAGTTGAGGCTGCTCTTTTGAAAATAAAATAGAATAAGAGGTCTTATGATTTTTCCTATCCTTTTTGGTTGCTTCATCAAACTTTACTTCTCGGCTGAGAATTAGGTTTTCTTATTTGAAACAAAAAATCATGTATCATTTGGAGGAACTAAAGCTCATAAATATGACCTTATGAACCCTGTTGTCCTGCTTATTTCTCTTTGTCTTTGGAACTCGATAAAAACATAAATGCCAAATGATTGTGAGAGGATTTACTAATGGTTTGTTCCCACATCAAGCTTCATATGGAGTCTTGTCTTGCAAGGCCTTAGTAGGGAATATTTTCAGCAAATATACAGAGATATTGATTGCCTGTGCCTAAAAATTTAATTTGGGATCCTTCTTTTGAGCAAAAGACATCAGGCCATCTCCATTATTGTCTTGTTCTTCCTTTTAGACACGCCATTTTGTTATGAGAGTGTATGGTAATGCCAATTGTCATTCAATTCCAATGTAATTACAAAACTCCACAAACTAAGAAGAAGTATTTTCTCCTCCATTGTCAGACGTTGAAGTTGTAATACTAAGATTACATTGATTTTCTACTAAAGCTTTAAATTGCTTAAAAACACCAAAGACTTCACTCTTCAGTTTAATGAAATAAACCGAACACATTATAGTGTAATTATTAGCAAGGAGGATAAAATATTTGTTACTACTCAATGAATAAGTTTTCATTGTAGACATTCATATGAATGACCTGATGTTTTTTCTTAGCTCTACATACTTGATTTACTTGAAATGGCAAATTTGTTTGCTTTCTGTGTTGGAAGGTTTCAAAAGCTTGAACATTAGAAAGGAATTCATGCTTATTTTCCACTAGATCATTCTTTTTCATCTTTGCGATGCTTCTCAAATAAAAGTGGCCAAACCTGTTGTGCCATAGGTTTGTACACGTTTGTGTAGTAATAGTGTAAGCCTGATCAGTTATTTTGTCCCAATCAACTGAAAACATTATGTTCATCATCCTAACTTATATTAGTCCAAATTCAGAAGGGTCAGAAACAATACATTCACGATTCTTAAATGTAGAGTATAATTTTTTTCAAGCAATTGTTCAATACTCGATAAATTTTGATTCATATCAGGTGTATACGGAACATCACGAATAGTTTTGATACATGATATTGTAGAGATTGACATTGTCCCTCTACCTTTGACTTCTACTGCCTCACCATTTCTAGCTTTTACTTTAGATTTGTAAGTATCAACAAGGAATTTGATCAGCATAATTGTACAAGTGATGTGTGCATCCATTATCAAGAAGCCATGAATCAGAGGATTCATTGATTTAAAAATATGAAACTGCAACGAGTTGCTCCTCATGCACATACATCTACAACTTCTGTTACTTGTGTTTGCAAAGATCTAAAGACATTTTCTCTTTATTTGCATACCTAATATATATGTTCGTTTGCTTACCATTGTCGCATATAGTATCGACTCTCCACCAACAATACTTCTCTACATGTGTAGTTCTTTTACAATTTTTGCAAGGAGGGAACTTCTGCTTAACATCTCCCTTATTTCTTCCTCCATCATGCTTGCCCTTATTCTTTTGGTTGAACCCTTTTGTACAACAAAAGCTCCGTCAATGAACTTGTCCAATCTTATATTCCCTCTTTTCACTTGTTATTGAAGAGCTTTTATTAGTTCACCTAATTAAAGTTTGCACAGGTCCTTGGATTCTTCAAGAGAGGAAATCTAAGATTTAAACTTCTCCGGAAGAGTCACAAGAACTTTCTCCATAATTTATTTATTTGTAAACTCTTCACCAAGAAATCTAATGTTATTAAAAATTAAGGTTTTTTTATTAACATACTTACTGATTGTTTCATCTTTCTGCATATTCAAGGATCAAACTCTCTTTTTCAGGTTCAACTCTTGGATTTGACGTATTTAATCATTGCCTTGAAATTCTGCATTCAACCTATCCCAAGCCTCCTTTGTTTTTTTACAAGCCATGATTTTTTAAAACATAGAATTTGTCACTTAATTATACTTAAGAGACTTGGCTTTAGATTTCTTTTCCTTCTTTTCGTTGTTGGATTTTATCTAAGCCAAAGTATGAGTTGGTGATATAGTAGCAAGTGGTTTATCTTCCGTTATATTTTTCCAAATTACATGTGCTTCCATAAAAGCTTGTATTATCACAAACAAGATTTGGTAATTTTCACCAGTGAAAGTGAATGATTTAAAGGTAGGTTGTTATATGTCCTTTGTATTTTAGGTAAAAACGATTTGGTCCTCTAAGATCAACTATAGACTCTGATACCACTGTTAAAATAGAAACACTCAAGAAACTGTTTTGAAGAATAAAAATAGAGTAAATTTATGAAATTTTTGCTTTGTATTAATTTTCAAAAGATCTGAATTTATACAGGAAAACCTAACCTTTTCCTATCTCGTAGCTATTTACAAAATGGATATTAAGACTAAATAAGAACATGTACCACTAAAGCCATAAAAGGGGCTACTAACTTCAAAAAGTTAAGCAACTAATGTTGACCAAGGCTAGCTAGGAATAGGAAGCATTAAACTGAAATAAGTATAAAACAGTAAAAATAATAAGCTGAAAAAAATGTCAATTGTCTAGCACACAACAATCTCAAAGAAGAATCAACTACTACAACCAAAGAACCTGGTCTTATATAGTTCATGAGTTGTAATAGTTAGTTTCGTTGTGTGGTTTCACGACAAAATATTAGTTACATTCTTAGTTAATTGTAGGTTGTATTGTTTGGTATTTGTAAGGAACTTCATTGACTAGATGGATTGATTGAAGAAGAAGGTAGAAGACAAGGACTTTTGGGAACAATCATGAGCTGTAAGAAAAGTAATTATAACCTTGAAGTTATTCGAGTTTAGTCAAGAATTTCAGAAACTCCTATAGGAGGTGGCTGATGATTGTTGTTTATTTCAAGCAAGGAATTCACCATGCTAAAGTACTTATGTTGAGTTACACATTTGAAACTTTACTTTCTTATAGTTTTTGAAGAGCTATGGTTCCTCAAAAGTAGTGGTCATATCTAATATAACAATTGATATCATATCCTGATTTTCAATAGATAGTTATACATTTAAAGACAAAGATGGTTAGTACAAAAAGGTCAATAAACAACAATGTTACCATGTGCTAATGGCAAATATTTTGGTTTGAAAGAGAATGCAAGACTTTATCATAAAAGAAGATCTAGAGTTACGAGAGATCATACAACAAGGTCAATTATAATCATGACAAATGATGATAGTTAAAATATAGGGATAATGCCCAAGTACCCCCTCAACCTATGCCCGAAATCCCAGAGACACACTTATACTATACTAAGGTCCTATTACCTTCCTGAACTTATTTTTATTAATAATTTTTTACCCCTTTTTAGCTTACGTGGCACTATCTTTTGGGCCCAACGATGGTTGACTTTTTTTTCGAACTAGTGCCACGTAGGCTAAAAAGGGGTAGAAAATTACATATAAAATAAGTTCAGGGGGGTAATAGGACCTTAGTATAGTATAAGTGTGTCTCTGGGATTTCGGGCATAGCTTGAGGAGGTACTTGGGTATTTTCCCTAAAATATATAGAAATTTTAAAAGATATACAAATGAATATATCAAGGATCTCCAAAAGAAAGTCCAAAAGAGTGTGAAAGCAAATAAGCTACTTATTTTTATAGCATTTGACTTAATTAAACAACAAAATTTCTAGCGACATTCGTTCTAATGAGACTTAATTAATGCCGGTAAAAACTTTAGCATTTTTTATTAATGTCAATATTTATTGCTGCTAAAAGTTGTTTTTGTTGTAGTGACTATAATAATAATACATCCAGTTTGTTAAGTTGAGTCAACGTCGTGTTTTCTACATCTTTCCACTCAAAGTTTAACTTTTTCAAGGCCTAGACCCCTTATGCTATAGTTCATCGAGAAGGTGAAAAGACATAACAGGAGTGTTGAAAGTTTTTTGATAGGCCCACAAAACATTATTTGACATTTTTACCAGTTAGTTCAATTTGCATTACTAGTCTAGGACAGGATGCTCTTGATCTCCTTGTTAAAAAATTCCACTTGATCACATCTATAGATGGTATGAGGTTTCAACCATATGCCTTACACTATAATTTTCTAATAAACTTGCAAAAATTATAGTAGAGGTGAGATTTCTTGTCACTAGTAATAACTATTTACATATCCAATCTAGTGAAAATATTCTTGTTTAGGAGTGCATCACGCTCTTATCGTTATTATTAGGTAGAGAAACAACCTCCACTCAATTATAAACATAGTCCACAACCACTAGGATACATTGAATCATTGAAACTCACAAAGGGGCCCATAGTATCTAACCCCCAAACATCTAATATTTCCACCTCCGTGACTATGTTTAGATGCATATATATCTGAATTTTTGAAATCGAACCTCAAAATTGGTAGTGGTCACTGATAGATGATGGGCCAACATAACCACAATCAAATATTTTTTGCAAGTATCCACATACCTTTATAGTAGCATCCAATCGGTGAATCATGACATGTTTTCTAAGAAAGTGTTATTCTTCTTAAGATATATACCACCTAATCATGTTATCCACATATATATGAAATAGGTAAGGTTCATATCAGAAGTGGTGTCTATATTTTTTTTTAGAAAATTCTTCTTTTGCTATGATTTCGCTTATTCAAGATTGAGGCTAGTCACCAAAAAGATAGTAATATCAGCATAGTAAGGCTCCATCACACTAGACACCGCTCGTAGATGCTCATCTTGAAAAGTGTAATCTGCCACTTGATTCTCCATGCCGTTCATATTATTGACTTCAAGGTCAAATTCTTGCAATAGCCATCCATGGAATGATCTTCGATACACATCCTTTTTAACCATCATGTACCGAAGAGCTGCATGATCAATGTAAATTATGGAGTTGGACCCAAATACACATGATATCATTTTTCAAATGATATAGTATTATCAATAACAATTATGTTTTAGTCACAAATACAGTTTGTCTAAGCAAAAGTTAACATATTGCTAGCGTAAAATATCAGGGTGGAAGATCTTGTTAGCTCTCTACCGCAATACAACTCCAATAAAAGATCCATATACATCACTAATAAGCTGAAATAGAAGGATACCGTCAAGAGTGATAATGACCAATCTATATTTTGAGATCCTCAATCGGTGTTAGGTATTTCTCCTTACACACAAAGTTTGCACGTCAGTCAACAAGGTGAACATATTTACTATATATTTGTACGTTGATGTTGAGATTGAGAGGTTGTATGAAGAGAGAATTTTTGACATATATTAATCTAAACACCTTACTTTCTTGTGTTATTTGTGAAATAACAAAACACGATTCTCAAACTATTGGTCATAATTGTTGTCAGCTATGACTAACATACATTATTTGATGTTATCAGGGTTTAATCCCAGTCTTGGAACGATTCTCTTTGGCATTTTACAGGTTTTTGTTTTCTGATGAGGTCATCCCTTAAAAGTAATTGTCTTGTTGAAAATGCATAATTTATGTTTATGTTAATTTTTTTTAGGTTGGAGTAACTGCAGGAGGTGCACTTTTGATAGATAGAGCTGGTAGAAGACCCCTTCTAATGGTAATAATATATATAATATTCCTAATTCATGATAGTTTAAAGAAAAATTAAAACACATGAAAGTCACTTATTCATTATGTAAAAATTAATTTTTCAGATGTCTGCCTCTGGTTTGCTTTTGGGAAGTCTACTAATTGCATTTTCATTCCTTTGCAAGGTAAATCAGTTCCTTTCCCCTTTGAACTTGTTATGCAATCCTATGGTATTGACTTTTGTTTTCTTTTCTGACAAGGCTCATACTCTGGCACTAACTTTGGTCCCAAACCTTGCATTTGTTGGTGTTTTGGTAAGACATTTCATTCAATTGTTTAATTACAAATACTAGTGTATTTTATTTCACCTTCTTGTATGTAATTAACATTAGCTCAATAACATGTTTGAGTCTTTTCAGAATGTTCAAAGGCATTATTGTAACTTTTACAACGGCCTTCACAAATCATCACTAATTATTGATCTGCAAAAACTTTACCTTTGAATAATCCCGTATAACATCTCCCTATAAATTTTCAAAACCTATGTTCTACCCACCAGTTGAGCGCTTGTGCCATTCCATCTTCTTAAAGTTGTCCGTTATGGCGACAAAGATGTCCCTCCCATTTGTAATATTTGCTAAAAAAGTTCTTTTTGGATCTTTGGTGCAACACTTATGTGAGAAAATTATCAAAAGTCATCTCTAAGAAGAGGTGGAGCTAGGTGGGAATTAATGGGTTCGAAAGAACCTAATATTTTTTCGTAAATCTTGTATTTGAAGTATAAAAATTTGATTGACGGTTCAATGATAAGTAATTGACCTTGGAAATGCTTTTCACGCTAGAGTTTTGAGTTTGAACCACCCCCTCCTCTCTTTTCATTTCGGCTATTGCCATGTCTATTGATATTTTGATGATGATATGGATTTAAATTAGGTTTAATTTGATAAATTTCTAAATATCGAAGGATTCGTGACGAGAGGTTTCAAATTCCCCCCCCCCCTTTTTTAACCCAATGAAGAAATAAGCTTTACTCCTATTTAGATAGAGTTGCCTAGTTTTCCATGGCTTATGTATTTATGGGATGTTATTAGAGAATATGTAGACTGTAGAGTACTATTGCTCAAGATTTTAGTTCGTGAGGAATAGTTGCATTTTGGTGATTTTACTCTTTTTCTTCTCTAGTTCATTGGTGCTATTTTGTAGTTATTGTTGTTTATTGTTTGACAATTATTTGGTGACCATTTTGGAGAATTTTTTTTAACTCTTGTTAATTATAGTGAAATTTTGATGTCGTGGTTTTTACTATTTAGTCTGAAGAGGTTCTCAACGTAAATCTTAATGTTTAGAAGGGGATTTAGTTTTTTCTTGCCATATTTATTTTGATGATTATTTTTTCTTCCCAAAGGTGGTTTGCGCTTAAATTTGTTTGTCTCCTTTTGATTAAATTAAAGGGAATGTTTAGACTCGAATATCGCCCTGCCGTGGACCTTAATTAGTGCTTGTCTTTTTCAATAAAGTGGTATCAAAGAATTATGTTATCGTTGATTGCTTATTTGATTAATGGATTCAAATATAAGAAAGATGGTGTGTTTGAACAGTAGTAATTATCATATTTGAAAAATTAAGATGAAAGATTTTATATTTACCAAGAAAATACATCTACATGTAATTTCTTCTAATAAACCTGAGTCTGAATAATAAGGATTAATTTAAGCACCTACATGTTTGTGGCCATATCAGACAATAAGTTTAAGATAATGATAAAAACATGGTGTGAATAAGACACACACTAGATGCTTATGGGACAGGCTTTAGACACTTTATTCTTCAAAAACTAGCAATAACAAGTTGTTCCTGCTAAAAAATTGATGAATATTAGATATATAGAGGGAAGTCATATTTCAGATCATATAAATAATTTATAGGGTTCCCTTCACTAGCTTTCTGGAATGGGTGTATAATTTTATGAAGAAATATAGGGACTGTGTCTTCTTAATACTCTACCATACTCTTAGGAAATTCTTTAATTTTCTTTAACTAATTGTTCTCACAATGGTGTTGTAACTACGAAATATGCAAAGAGTGATATTTTAAATGAAGAGATAAGAAGAAGATCTTAGTCACGATAAAATATACACTCTAGGTGTTGTCACGACCTGAGCCTACAACTTGGACGTGGCCGACACTCAAGAATCAATGTTTGTATCCAAGAGAAACCTCATCCTTGTTGTCTACAAGCGGAAGACTAACTCAAGTATACACAAAAATAAAGTGAAAGAAACGTTTTAAAATAATTTACCAAATCTAAACAATGAACTAAATATTCTAAGTATGAACCATAAGTTTTAAATAAAACATCTGAAATTGAAAGACTTAGCGAACTTTTCTATCTATGAAGCCTCTATTGTATACAAGGATGAGTGTTGGTACAAGACCCGCGACTCCTTAAGAACTACTACTAAAGACTCATAAAAATTGGAGTCCTCTAGAAGCAATGAGACCTAACTCCAAAGCGACGAGCTAATGAAGTGATCTCAACATACTCTTGTTGGGATCTTAAAAACCTGTCTCTACATCATTAAAATTTTTTAGGTGAATTAACATCAGTACATTAAATGTACAAGTATGTTATATTACTGAATAACAAATAACTTCAAAAGGATTACAATAGATAACAATGTACTCAAGCTGAATGTTAAGAAAAAAAGGAGTTAAATCATTTAATGTTTTATGAAATACTTTCACATCTATGAACTCAACATAATAAGTGATATATACACTTTAACTCTATTAATAAATTATCTAACCGACAACCAACACTTTGAGTTATATGATGATACAATCTCTCGCCCACACTGCTAGAACTGTCCTACAACTTGCTGGTATATAGGACACCTCTACTAAGTGAACCCACTAAGTTATGTCCTGAGGCACTTAGGATTTATCTAAAATGTATGATAGTACCCATGTTGGCATACATGGTTTATGAGTAATGTGAGTTGTCTCAACTCATCCCCATTTAGCTACTCAATACTACTCCCAATAATGTACTCATGTTAAATGTTTAAAAACATACTCTTCCTCTCATTTTAGATAATTTTCCAAACTATCCTTTTAAAAGAGGTAACTACTCTTGAAATATCTTTGAACTTATAATTCATTCAAAAATCAAAGTTTCTCTTTTATCAATGTAAAAACTAATACATTTGGAAATACTTAGTTCTGTTATTCCCTTACTCAATTCACACTAAAAAAATCTTTCTAAAAAATATATCAACATCATATTGTGATATTATCATTGGTGACTTAGCAAGTCATACATTCATAGACATTGATGGTATAACTAGATATCATAAGCCTAAACGTTGAGACATACTCGATTTTCATACTAATCATGTTCTAGAAACTCTTTCTCAAAAATCATCTTTTCTACATCAGAAACTCAGTTTAATACCCAAGAGTTGGCTTTAAGTGCTTCTTGAGATTTACATCTCAATTTATAGTGTTCATCTAGAATTATGGTCATGAACGATTAACTTAGTGATCTTAATAACAATATGCAAACTCAGTATGCAGAACTTCATGATCCTACTCATCCAAAAAATACTCAATTCATGGGATTCATGTTGAAATATAGACATGAAAGAATCAACTCAATAATCTTAATGTATAATATATAACAATTCAATATCTAGGAATAGAAACTTCCAATAGAATCAGGAACTAATGAACTTAAAATCAACTCATCTCAAGAATTCTCAAATCTAGGGACAGAATCCTAGATTACTCTTATACTTATTTGAAAGTAGATGTAGGGCCTGAAGACGAACAAGTCAAAAACTATGATAGCCTTATATACCTGGTAGAAAAGTTTATTAATGAATCTTGAAGAAGAACTTGATTACAAGCCTTGAAATCCTTGCTTGAAGGAGAAAAATGAAGAAAACCTTTATTGATATTTCTTGAATTAGTTTGTTGGTACTCTATGGCCAAGAATTTATTATTCTCATTAATAATTCATAACTGTATGAAGAAAATTGAGTTGGAAAGAATAAAATTCTTGGAGGACTTACCTTGGAGAAGAATCTAGAAAAAGATTGAAAGAATCTTGAATTGAAGTCTTCTACTTTGATTTTTTTGGGTTTTGACTTAGGGTTTGAATGATAGATTAAGAGATGAAATCTTATTTTTTTGGGTGTATAATTAGCCATGAAATTTTATTTGGGTTTCTTAGAGGTAAAAATATTAAAACAACCACTTTTAATGTTTTCTCGCTGTCTAATTTGTCAATGCACTTTATCATGTTACTAAAATGGCTATAACTTTTTACTCAAAATTCAAATTTTTACGGAGTTGGTGGCGTGGAAAAGAAGATTTAATTATCTTTAGTTTGATAGTCATGGCCACAAAACTCTTTATATTTTAAGAGATATGGTCGTTGAAGTTGACCTAATTATTATCTTACCTCAAAACATAATTTGTAAGGGAACTTTCAACTCTACTATGTGCTAGGAGTTTTGACTAACCTTAATTGATATCCAAAATTATTTCCACATTACATAATTTACCTTTAAACATATGGGAAATTTAAGAATCACTGGACATGACATTTTACGTAAGTGAAGAATAGTTTGATCTTAGCTTAGAAAATTTTGGGGTGTTGTAATATCTAACCCTAGGGATCATTCGTCCTCGAATGACGGTTAAACTGCGAATGGAGGCAATAATAGTTACTATTACTACCTCTCATTACTTCTAAGCTTACCTACTAATATAGGTTGTACTAATTGATACTAATAGTTATGAAACTGGACTAGAGCACATAAGTCACGATTGATATGAGTTTGAAGATGACTCACTCTACATGAAATTATTTGACATTAAGCTTGGCTATCTTCCCACGAAGTAAGAATAGGAATATTATGCCTTGAGTGAGATGATTGAAAACTTTTAAAATTAATAACAATTCTAAACTATGCTTCTCTTTTTCCTTACTACACTTCATTAGCTGCAACTCCTAGCTCCTACTAGAGTATATGACCACTCTTACAAACGTCCATATCAAATCACTTTCTCTTATTGTGTTCATGACTAATTTCTAATTCACAAGGTGCTAAACATGATATGGTTATACTTATCTAAACCACGAGATTCAGGTTATGTGCTTCTATAAGGAATCTCATCCCTAGGATTTTTCTCCTTATAGTTGACTTCAACCAACCTTGAGTCCATATCAAGAAACACCCAATGCATCATATGCTTTTTTCCACATGTCAACAATACCACATTCAAGCCTAACACTATAACCACTCCA